TAAAAAAAAAAAAAGAGGTAGTAGAATATTTTTGCGCTCTCACCAGCCATTTGAGAGAATCTCCAATCTACTTTCTTACAAATATTTGATACTGTTTCTTTGCCAGTCTTCTGGATGTAAAGGAATATCTCATTATGGTTTTAATTTGCTCTTCCCTGATGACTTTCATCTTTTATGAAATAAAGCTTCAAGCTTTTTTTTTAACCTATTTTTCTGTTGAGGTTATCTTTATTTCTTTATATATACAATTTTAATCATTTGTTGGCTGTATGTTTTTCCAATATTTTCTAAGTTTGTAGCTTCTGCACCTTGTATGATTTTTAATGAGTGTTAGGCCCCAATTTTCTTTTGCTTTTATTCTTTTTAAACTTCATATTTTATGTAAGGACTGTTTCCTTACTTGGCCATGTAGGAGGTAGGTTTTTGAGTTGTAAGAAACATTGTGAGAACAGAGACTTTTATCTATCTTTTTATACATAACAGAGCATGTGGTAGGTAGTCATTAAGTATTTGAAAAAATAAAAGGAAGGAAGGAAGGAAAAGAAAGAAAAGGAAATGAGAAAGGCTGTAAACCAAATCTAGACTGTAACTGGAGAAGCTTTATCCATCTCCCTATCTCCCACTTAAAAAAAAAAAAAAAAAAACTTAGGTAATAGCTATGAAATGTTATTTCAGTGCAATATAAAACCTGTTGTCCTATTGTTTGTTTTGTGGGTGTGTGCTTTTTGTAGGGGTGCCAGGTGGGATTACCCTCAAACATACCCCTTGAGCATACACTTTTAGTCACAATCTAACTTTTTTAAAATCTTACAAACTTAAGGTAAATTTATGCTTCCTTCTTCTTTTAATTTCTAGATTAAAAAAAAAAAAAAAACTCACTGCCACTGAGTCTATTCCGACTCATAGCAACCCTCATTGGTTTCCGAAGCAGTAAATCTTTAGAGAAGTAGATTACCCCATCTTCCTTCCATGGAGCAGCTGGTAGGTTTGAACCACCAGCTTTCTGGTTAGCAGTCAGATGCCTTAGGCACCACCAGAGCTCCTAATTTCTAGATAACAACTTACTATCCCAAAAAGTCTTACTTATACATATCATTACATAGAGTATTTTATGAATTATAAAGGTACAAGCAGACTTAATTATTAGGTACAATCAGTCATTGCCGACTTATCTCCACAATTATAGAAAAATATGCCGTAACTGCAAGTGTGGTCAAGAAGAGCATGATGTCCTCTTGAGCAATGAAGAGGACCGAAAAGTGGGGAAGCTCTTTGAAGACACTAAGTATACTACCCTGATTGCAAAGCTAAAATCCGATGGGATCCCCATGTATAAACGCAATGTTATGATATTGACCAATCCAGTTGCTGCCAAGAAGAATGTCTCCATCAACACAGTTACCTATGAATGGGCTCCTCCTGTCCAGAATCAGGCACTGGTGAGTAAGGGGGCAGAGGGTCCGTTTACTAAAGTTCCTGACCTATTTATTTCAGGCATTTCCATTAGTGACCAAACCAACATCACACACACCCCAGGTCTTTTACTTTTCTGAGGCTGCCATTACTTTGACTTCTGACTCTACTGTACATTATTTGTGAGTAAGAATAGGTAGCTCACTGAACCTTCCTGACTACCTAGATACGTTTCTCTCTGAGGACATGCTTTGATGCTCTTAATAATAGATGAAAACGAATGTTTTTCATAAATCAAATAACTCTTCTAAGTTACTTTTAAGAAGGTTTATCTTAATAAGATAGTAAAGAATGTCTAAAGAATCCAATTTCTGCCATTGTTTAGAACTGAAAAATGTTCAGCACTATATTTATTTTACTGCATAAGACAAAGAAGTGCAATTTTGTGTCAAGTTCCACCCATGACTGTAACAACTAGATGGGGCCTTTGGAAATCTCTTAAGGAAGCTAGTTAATCATTAACGTGATTCTTCAGTGCTGAAAGTGCTGCTGATTTGTAAGGCCATTCTAAACATTTATGCCTGGAAATTTGTGTTTCCTTGCAATTATGCATTTGTGTATTTAGGGCAAGTGCACACTAGTAACCCACATCTTTTTCACAATCTGAAAAAAGCTTTAATTTCCAGATTATGCTCATTTTTATTGAACCAAATCTATTTAGTGTGCCATGTTTAAATGTGCTAACATCTCAAGATATATATATTATGAAGAGTAACTGTCACTAATGGATAAAATCAACTTCACTGTAAGTAACTTGGTGCTATATGCATGTCATAAAATACTGCACTGTCTGAAGGCCAAGGCATCGCCCATGTTAACATAGATCTCCCATGCCCTAGGCCAGGCAGTACATGCAGATGCTCCCCAAGGAGAAACAGCCCGTGGCAGGCTCAGAAGGGGCACAGTACCGGAAGAAGCAGCTGGCCAAGCAGCTTCCCGCTCACGATCAAGACCCTTCAAAGTGTCATGAGTTAACGCCCAGAGAGGTGAAGGAGATGGAGCAGTTTGTGAAGAAATATAAGAGCGAGGCTCTGGGGGTAGGAGATGTCAAACTTCCCCAGGAGATGGACAGTCAAGACCTCAACAGAATACATGTCCCAGGGGGAGACAGAAGCACCACAGCAGCAGTGGGGGCCATGGAGGACAAATCTGCCGAGCACAGAACTCAATATGTAAGTAGAGGAGTCACACCATCGCTCAGCGTACGTATTGTACAGGCTCGTCTCCTTTCTTGGAACCTTTTTTTGGGCCATTCCTCTGTATCCATTAGGGAGCTGAGATAAATAAATTCAATTACAATTCAGTTTAAGCTTGTTTGAGAGATTCATCATGTTTATTCTTTTCTCTAAAGCCAAGGTTTTTATCTACTGCCAAGGATAACTGAGAGTTTTATGTATACACAGTCGTTGGCATTTGGCTTCTTGCTGGAATACACATGCTAATGTAGAATCTGTTTGCTAACCATAAGTTTGATCTTGATTATCTCCTCCCATAAATTAAGAATAATATATGCTTAGATTAATTCAGTTTTGCTTGGGAGACTGCCTAAAATTCATCCTTACATTAATGAGTGTGTGTGTATGTGTGTGTGTATATGGGTGTGTGTATAAATATATATATGTATATATATATATACGCACACCCATATACACACACACATTTATATATTAATGTGGTTATATATAGTCCATCCTTTTTTCCAAGGTTTTATTAGTGTGGGAAATGCAATTGAAATATTTTCTGTGGCTTGGCGATGAAAGACAATAGTGACACAGTTTAACAACAGAAAATGTACTAAGCTTATTATAATTTATTTTTCATATATCAATTTGCATATCAACCAATAAGGCTTAGTCCTGTGAAAAGAGTACTAATAAGCTCTAAGGTGATCATTTTTGATAGAACACTTAAGAGTGAGGTGAGAATTACCATTCGCCTTTTTCTAAGTCCCTTAAATGCAAGAAACAATGCTGAATTCTTGCATAGAATTAGCAAGCCAAGAGTTTTAGTTCTTCAGACATATTAACATTTTATTGTCTTCATGAATACATTACTAATTGCAGCAGAAAATATTTCTCTTGAAAGTTGTTTCTCTGAATTCATGCTGAAGCTGATAATCAGAAATGCCAGTTGTCTGAAGACCTGACTTTGGACGGCTTCCCTTTCAGTCCTGCTATTGCTGCAAACTGAGTATGAAGGAGGGCGACCCAGCCGTCTACGCGGAGAGGGCTGGCTATGATAAGCTGTGGCACCCAGCTTGCTTTGTCTGCAGTGCCTGCAGTGAGCTCCTGGTTGACATGATCTATTTCTGGAAGAATGGGAAGCTGTACTGTGGCAGACATTACTGTGATAGTGAGAAACCCCGCTGTGCCGGCTGTGATGAGGTATGTTCTCTGCATTCAGTCCCCTTTCTGTACCACCATAAGGTCCCCTTATCATAGCCAAGCCACCCTTAGAAAGAAGGCAGCATGAATTGACCAAACATCAGATGCTTTACTTATGTCCAAAGGAGTTTATTGAGAGGAACTTTTAATTCATTCATTCTGAGGGTCGTTGTTAATTAAGTTGACTAACAAGGGACCGTCCAGAGATACACTAGATTGATTTGTACTAAGCTAAATGATTACCTGAGTTTGAACTTCAGGTTATCATTTTCAAACTTCAGACCCCAAGAAAGTATGCTCATACCCTTGTGGGTTGAAATCCCTCATTTCCTAATGAACCTTGTTTTGTCATATGGAGCCCAAAAGAAAATATGTGGCTCACCTTATTTTCTTCCTCTTCAGCTCATATTCAGCAATGAATATACCCAGGCCGAAAACCAGAATTGGCATCTGAAACACTTCTGCTGCTTTGATTGTGACAACATCCTAGCTGGGGAAATATACGTGATGGTCAATGACAAGCCCGTGTGCAAGCCCTGCTATGTGAAGAATCATGCCGTGGTGAGTGAGATACGGTTACCTCCAACTGCCTTATGACTTGAGTTTATGCCTCTGTTTAAGCATCTTACAACTGGGAAACAGAAAGCACTACTCTTAAGTAGTGAGCATGAGATTCCCACCAAGAGGATATCAAACGTTCAGGCAGTCTGAAAATAGTACATGCACTGAGTATGATCCCCTTCAAGGTTTCTATCTGTGTAGTTTATACTGTGGATTATTAGTGCTGTTTGATAATAAAATCCTTACGTTAAAAGTCCTCTGACAATTCTGGGAAGAAGTCCTTGTCTCTCTTTTCTCCTTCTGCTCCTGAATGCTTCAGCGACCATGTGACATGCATCTTTCCCTCGATTCGTGCATGCTCATTTGCTTGCTTACTTAAGCTGTGCTTTCCTATCTCAGAAGAGATTGTCTAAAGACACACCCCACACTAATAACTGCCTCGTTAATAAACAAACCAACCTGTTCTGGTTCCCTAGTGCCACTCTGACAAGAAATATACCACAAATGGGATGGCCTTAACAAACAGGAGTTTATTCTTAAAATTTGGAGGCTTTAAGTCCAAGTTCAGAGTTCCAGGCTCTAGGGGCTGGGTGAAAGCCCCTCAGCCTTGGAGGCTAGCTCTGCCTCCTGCTCCTGGCCTACTGGAGCTAGAAGTGTTTTTTCACTCAGACAGCTGCAGGCTGCTGAGGGTGAGAAGTCCCAAGGTTGACTAGTAAAAAGGCACAGCCCCAGTGTTACCAAACCACACAGCAGGCCATTAACTTAAGTCCATTGTAAGTCCCAAGGTTGGCAGAGCATAGCAGGCTGCTGAGCAACAACACGGCTAGCTACATGCAGGGTCCAAGCGTGCCATAGGCTAGAGACCATTCCCAAAGCTTTTCCTTATATACAGGAAGCGGACCATATCCCAAAGGCAGCTACTCAGCTGCTTGTGGTAGATCCCACATGGAGTTGATTGCCAATCTCATCATGGGGAATAACTACCACCAGCTGCCCAGCC